TAACCCGACACTGGCCATGGCTACTCACCCTCCCTTCAGATCTCAGGGCAACCCCCCCTGTCGTCTGCTTGTAGCTACCTGTGTCCGGTGCCATTCGCTCGCCCTCAGTTCCCGGGGCTCTTGCATGGGCCGATGATAACCCTTTCGTCTTGAGAAGGGCGGCGGCAGACAGCGCTCCTGAAACACACACGTCGAGAGTTCCCACCAATTAAAGGGGCATGTAAGTGCGAACCGGTGTTGACTCGGCGGGAAAAAAACAGAGCTGGGAGATGTTGGACAAGTCCCCGAGCTGTGTCCACTCCCCCCTCCCCCTCTCTCTCTCCCTTCCCCCCTCTCCCTCCTCGATGATCCACCCCTCCCCCTAGCGCCTTGGGCCCCCGCACCCCCTCCCTCCTTCTTGCACCCTAAACATCCTATCCACCCAACTAACAACCGAGTCAGCCATTCCTCCCCAAGTTCCCCGCCGCCCTTCGTCTTTCAAGCCACCTTTCCCCTCCCTCCCCCCCCCTCGCTTCCCCACCCCTCTCCCTCTTCAACGGGCTGATCCCAGGTAGATATCATACACACTAAGTCCCGGTAACTACCTGACAGGGAAATTATGCAAGTGAGGAATCCACGCTACACTGTACAAAAAAGAAGAAGAAAAAAAAGAAGAAAAACGTTGATGCGGATACACGAGGTTCTTGCGGCCGAGTGGATTCCTGAGTAGGATGAGAAGGAGATGGACACGGAGTGGTTCGGGGGAATCCGGTGGCGAATGCGGCTGAGGGAGGGACGGGCGGTCGTCGGCGGGCGCAGGGCAGAGTGCTAGAGTTATATGACAGCAGCAACGACAGCAGTGCGGGTCGGCGGCAGCGGCGAAGGCTTTCGACCGAGTGAGAGGAGTTAAAGAGAAACGGGAGTAGCTGTTCGAGGAGTAATGGAGAGCATAGTGATGATGTGTCTGCAAGTACATTTCCGTTTGAGTTTTTCAATCAGATCGAGATAAGAATTTATAGATGACATTTTCTGTTCTTATTATCCGGCGACGCAAGACCGTTATCAGATCATCTGCAAGATAATTGTTAAATAACATGAGAGAATGAAAGAAGAGGAAGGACGGATAACTGAGGAAACCTCTCTCAGTTTAGGATAATAACACGAACCATATCTGATTACACATAAATCTTTGCTACTGACGAAAAAAGGAGAGAAAAAAATGGCTTTAAAAAACACCAAACGAAATTTTTTTGTTTCCAGAAAAGAAATAAATGCCGTAAATGGAAATATACGGAGCGATACGAAACTCGAATCCCATAAAGAAGGATTCAGCGGAGCACCAGCGGGATCGAAACCTCCCTCGAGCGTATTGAATCCCCTTTGGGCTGTGACCGCCGGATTACACGCTCGCTGCGGGCGCTCGCCGAATGTACTTGCTCTATGATTTATTTCGAGTACTTAATCGCGCTGTGCTTTGCGGTGTTGCTCAGTTCGTATCTGATGGGGGAGGCAGACGCTACGTGGGAACATTATGCAAGATGGCCGGACGAAGTTCATTTGTAAAAGCCAAATGTACTGCGCTCGTCACAGATGAAGTTGGAAGGAAGTTGAGAGAGAGAGAGAGAGAGAGAGAGAGAGAGAGAGAGAGAGAGAGAGAGAGAGAGAGAGAGAGAGAGAGAGAAAGAAAGAAAGAAAGAAGAGAGAGAGAGAGAGAGAAGAGAAAGGGAAGAGAAAGAGAGAGAGAGAGAAGAGAGAGAGAGAGAGAGAGAGAGAGAGAAAGAAAAGAAAGAAAGAAAGAGAAAGAAAAGAGAGAGAGAGAAAGAGAAGAAAGAGAGAGAGAGAAAGAGAGATGGAGTGGGGAGAGGAGGAAGGGAGAGAGAAAGAGAATGAGTGAGAAGAAGAGAGAGACAGACAGACAGAAAGGAGAGAGTGACAGAAAAAAGGAAAGAGAGAGAGAAAGACAGAAAAGGAAAGGGAAACAGAAAAAAAGAGAAAGAAAGATTAAGAGAGAGACGTAAGGCTAAGTACATGTATTCGTAAGTGCTTATCGAAACTGTATCAATGTAAGTGCTCATAAAACAGCAACTTAAAAAAAAAAAAAAAGAGAAAAAAAAGATTCATATACAGCATCAGCCATGTATCAATTAAAACAAAAGATATATTAGTTTCTACGGAAGAACTTTAACGCAAAGTGTTCGATGCTTGGCCACGTCTGACGTATTTTATAAAATATGAAAACCGAATATGTTTATAATCATATGCGCACACGTGTGGATGTAAGTGTGTGCGGGTGTTGTTGTGTGTGTGTGTGTTTATGTTAGCTTGTGTGTGTCTGTGCGTTTATATGAGTGTGTCTGTGTGTTATGTGTCTGTGGTTATGTGTGTGTGTTTATGTGTGTCTGAGTGTTCATGTGTGTGTGTGCGTGTGCATACGAAGTTTTCGTTTTACGACAATTAAATTCAATTGCTTGTGTGCATGTGAGTTAAAAAATAATGAATACAGACAGGACGGACATAAATTTTGAGAAAGAGAACCAAGAATAGTCATAAGAGAAAAAACAGAGGAAGAAGAAAAAATAAGAATAAGAATGAGATATTAAGAAGACAGAAGAAAGAACGGAGAGCATACAAACAATACGTAATGAATGGAAAGAGATAAAAAGAAAACTGAAGAAAAATAGACATAGCCGACAAAATAAGATAAATGCAGAACAAGGAAAGGACATACTAATTAGATATAAATAGATGGAGAAGAAGATGAGCGAATAAAGAGATAGAAAGAGAAGATCAATTGATAGATAACAATGACTGAATACGAAAATAACGAAAATAAAAGAAAACTAATTAATTTAAAAATATGATTCACGGAATAGATAAACGCATAAATAGGTATACCAATTTACGAATCAGGAAATAGATAAAGAAGAAGACACAGATACTAAGATAGACAAGAGAAAAAAGAATAACGGAAGGAATAGATAAAAAATAAATAAATAAATAAAAAAAATAGAAACGCTGCTGATGATAAGGAAACAGAATGATGATTGGGATAATAGTGTAAATGATAACGATGATAAAACATAAACGACATTAATGAAGATTGGAAAGCAATAGATTAATAAATCAACAAAAAATGAAAATAAGATTAAGATGGTAAGAAACCCAGTTAAAAGTACGAAAAGATAGGTAATACACAAGACATTGATATTACCATGAATGAAAGGAAACGAGATGGTTGAATTAAGGGGAAAGGAAGCATAAATAAACATGAAGAAGAATTAGAAGGAAGAAAGGAAGAAGAAGAAGAAGAAGAAGAAGAAGAAGAAGAAGAAGAAGAAGAAGAGAAGAAGAGAGAGAGAGAGAGAGAGAGAGAGAGAGAAGAGAGAGAAGAGAGAGAGAGGAGAGAGAGAGAGAGAGAGAGAGAAGAGAGAGAGAGAGAGAGAGAGAGAGAGAGAGAGAGAGAGAGAGAGAGAGAGAGAGAGAGAGAGAGAGGAGAGAGAGAGAGAGAGGGAGAGAGAGAGAGAGAGAGAGAGAGAGAGAGAGAGAGAGAGAGAGAGAGAGAGAGAGAGAGAGAGAGAGAGAGAGAGAGAGAGAGAGAGAGAAGAGAGAGAGAGAGAGAGAGAGAGAGAGAGAGAGAGAGGAGAGAGAGAGAGAAAGAGAGAGAGAGAGAGGAGAGAGAAGAGAGAGAAGAGAGAGAGAGAGAAGAGAGAGAGAGAGAGAGAGAGAGAGAGAGAGAGAGAGAGAGAGAGAGAGAGAGAGGAGAGAGAGAGAGAGAGAGGAGAGACAGATTAAACGAAGAGAAAAACAAAAACAAAACAACTAAAAATTTATAGTAGGAATGCCAAAGCAAAAGGGGAAAGAAAGAGGGAAAAGGGAAAAAAACGAATAAGTAGAAGCAAAACAAAGTAAGGAACAAGAAGAACAAGTTAGACGAAGAAGAATTAGGAGACGTTCAGACGAGCCATAAAAACAAGAAATATAAAAGGCAAGACAAAAGAAGAAGGAGGAGGAGGAGGAAGAGGAGGAGGAGGCGTATGAAGAAGATGAAGAAGAGTAGGAGGAAAAGGAAAAGAAGAAGAAGGAGTAGGAGTAGGGGGAGTAACAGTAGGAGGAGGAAGAAGGAAGAAGAGGGGGAGGAGAAAAAGAAGGAGAAAATGAAGATGGGGAAGTGGAGGAAAGGGCGAAGGAGGAAGAAGATGAAGGTGATGATGATTGGGAAGAAGAAAAATAAGGAGACAGAGGGAGTGGGCGATGAAGATGAAGAGGAGGAGGTGTTTGTGGAAGAGGAGGAGAAAGAAGAAAAAGAAGAAGAAGGGGAAGAGGAGGAGGAAGAATAGGAGAAGAAGGAGGAGGTGAAGCAGGAGAAGGAGGAAGGAGATGATGATGAAGAGGAAGAGTAGAAGGTTGAAGAATAAAAGGAGGTGAAAATGGAAGCAAGTGGAAGAGAAAGATAAAGAGAAAACGAAAGAAGAAAAATGAATAGAGAAAGAAAAAAGCGAGGAGGAGGAAGAATAATTAGAACATAGAGTGTGAAGAAGAGGAAGATAAATAAAAAAGAACGGAGAACGAAAAAGGAAAGGGAAAGGAAAACTAGAAGAAGGAAAATGAGAAATTCGGGAAAATTAAATAAAAAAGAGAAATCCTAAGATAATAGTAATAGTAATATATGTCTAAGCAGTAGTACAAAAAGTGAGAAACAGAGGGAAAAGACAGAGACAGAAAGAAATGATTATGCGATAAGAGAAAAAAAAGAGTAAATGAGGGAAATGAAGAAAAGTGAGAAAATGAAGAAGGAAGGAAGAGGGATAAACAAGAAAAGAGACAGGGGACAGTAATGATGCTAATAATGATAATAATAACAATGAAAACAATGATAGGAATGATAGTGATAATGATAATGATGACAATAACGATGGTTATGATAATAGTGATAATGATAATAGTGATAATAATCACAATAATGTCTATGATAATTAAAATGATAGTGAAGATAATAGCAATGATGATAATAACGATAACAA